ACCTGCAGAAAGGTACAGGGAGAGAGAGAGGACACACTACGGGAGAGAGGAGACACAAAGTTAGTGATGTGTAATGGTGGCATATAGAAGCATAGGGAGAGAGAGGAGAGCAGGAGGGGAGAAACTCGGAGCATCATGGGGCCCCCCAGCAATAATGTATGCATTGAAGTACATACAGATACAGGTGGTCATAATGTTATGCCTGATTGATGTATATGGTATGTGATAATATGAAAAAGATAAAGTCTGGTGAAGTCCAGCAGTCTTGAGCTTTGTTTTGTAGCATTTTAGATAAATGAATTTGCACGCTTGTAAGAGCCTGTGAACAGGCACACAGACTCTTTTCTGTCTGTCCAGATCTCACAGGTGTGTCAACTATGCCAGCAGTCCCCCAGGTTATTCACCAATCACGCCGCTCAGCTTCACACGCTACTAGTGAGTATTGTCAACCTTAACTCTCTTATACATTTGTGTGTACAAGTGGGTGCTTACTCGAGTCACATTACTTGACTTGAGTGAGACAAGATATAAGTCGCAAATTTGAGGGCTTGAGACTTTCTTGACAGTACCGGCAAAAGACTCGACCTGACTTTGACTTGGTGTTCAGTGACTTGAAGCGTTACGCAGATTTGAGCAGGGTGGCTAGAAATTACGTCACTATTTTTAATATTTGCATTTTCTAGATATCGAGAAGTTAAGTTTTGTTTTTGATACACAATTGGGTGATTTATAGTGCAGGGCAGGCAACGCAGGTCGCAGGATGCAGCTAACGTTATGGAGGGGACTAGTCCAAAAATAATAAGAATTTGGATTCAAGGATTATGTTGACGATGAGTAGTAAGAAGAGAACAGCGGTCTGCAAACTCTGCAGTACAGAACTCAGCGATACGATCACCGCAACATCCAACTTCATCGGTCACTACAAAACGTGCAAAGAAAAATAAGTACATGAATGTGTCTTTTCAGCAAACATTAGCTAACTTATTGGTCAAACATTAGTCAGAAAGCTAATGTTAACTTTATGATGTTAGGCTTGTCTTCAAATTGATTGCACATTTTACTGAGAAAACTTTCAGATAGCCATAAAAGGCGTTTTTATTTTTATTTAATAGCTAAGGGTTTGTAGACTACAAAGGCACACTTAATAATCCGAGAAGGCTTGTGAACATTTCATTTACATGCATGATAATCCCATAACATTATCAGATCATCAGAATTTTGTATGATTTGACACTTGTGGCTTGCTTGACCTGTAGTAGGAACTCGACTTGACTTGCTTGGTTCTCAACACAATAACTTGGGACTTGCTTGAGGCTTGCACATGTGTGACTTACCCCCATCTCTGGCATTTCAGCGTTGACTGAAAACAAATTTATTTGAAAAATATTTTCTGTGGTCCTGTTGGTTTTTTTTTTTTTTAAAATGAAGGCAAACAGTTCTTGAATATTGCAGTCAATCCATATTTATACACCTGCCAATCTCTACATATTTTGCATAGCAAGCATGCATTTTGCTTTTAAAGTACGCTGGTACAATTTCTCACTCTACAGTAGACAAAAAGCTGGTGATTCCTTTTGAGTTTGACTGATTACGCAGTACCCAGGTCTATGCCACTTTAGAGTATAGACAGAACATCAGTGTATTACAGAAGTTTTCCTGTGTCTGTGGTATCTTCTGCTGAAAAGCAAAAGAAGAGCTGGACCAATCACAGCACCAGATTTGTTCCTACGTCTTTCACCGTCTACGTATAACCCACTGTGGAAAAAATATTTACATGCAGGAATAATTGAAACATTAACATTATGCATAATGCTGTCCATTCCCTTGTCTCACTCCAGCTGGCTGGTTCATTAAGTGAGGACCGTTTTTTTAACTCTTTCACATGCTGCAGAAATTTCTTAAGCGCTACCGGGAGAGAAGGTCATTCCTCGATCTCTAGACTTCCTCTCCGTACATTCCGCACAGTCTGAAATACTGATATTGATCTGAGTAATCAGGAATCTGCAGGTTAATAACTCAACATCAAATGATGTGCATTTTAAGAGCACTGTTTATGTATTACCGAGTATTTCAATTTAAAAGGAGTAAAATTAATGCTACAACAAAACATCTACTGTAGATCCATCATTGTACTCCAAGACTTCCTTAAGAAAACACTCGGATTTTTTAAATTAGATATGAAATGATAAAACATTACCTTGGAAAAATATTAACTAAACATTACCATTTTAGAAATAAAGATCAATCCAAAAACCCAAACAGAAAATTAGTTAGAATTAAACATATACTAAAATCTAATAAAAATATTTGAAAGATTTAAACTTTATTAGACATGTTGGGAACACTGAAGCACAGATCTGCTATGAGAAAGAAATATTAAACACTCAACTGTCACCCAGAGAAGTTTTCTAAATACTCTAATTACTATATATTCCCACTTTGCAGAGAAACTGACATTCATAGTGTAAAGGTTGTCTTTCGTCCTGTGCTCTTATTCCAGGGTCTGTACTGCATCTCAGTGAACTGTATGGATAATGCAGAGGCACAGTTTACCACGGCTTTGAGGGTAAGTACATTATTGTTGTTTTATTCATATATTTTTGATACCTCTGATACTGTGCTGCTTCTCTTTTCTTCTGCTCGCTCGCTCTCCTCTCAAACACGTCTGTTGTCTGTGTTCCAGCTCACCACTCACCAAGAACTGTGGACATACATTGTAACTAACTTGGCCAGTGTCTACATAAGGGAAGGAAACCGACACCAGGAGGTGAGTGAAGCCTTTTAAATTACAACAAGCTCATTCATTTACAAGTGGTTAGTATAGACTCTGTCATGTTCGTGGTTTCTCTTTTGTTTAACCGAGCCATTTCATCAGTGTCACTGGGTTATCAAAAGTATATTGGTGTTGGTGTATACGAGCCTGAGAGTATCAAAAAAATGTGTCCACCAGAGAGCGCTGATGTTTGTTTTTCAACTGTAACATATGTCACTTCAGTGACCAAATTCAAGTGATCCTTAAATTGAAGAGAACCTGAGTGGAGGCAGATCTGTAAAACTAATGACTGATAGGTGTTTTACCATATTTCCTTTGTAATTGTTCTCCAGCTGTATAGCCTCCTAGAGAGAATAAACCCAGACCACAACTTCCCAGTAAGGTAGGAAGCATGAGGGTTTTTACTGTGTGTGTGTGTGTGTGTGTGTGTGTGTGTGTGTGTGGGGCACAAAACAATAAATTAAAGAAATGTTTTCAGTTAGAACTTATGTTGTGTGCAACAGCAGATCTTTGTTTTTGATTCAGCTCCCATTGCCTCCGTGCTGCCGCCTTCTACATCAGGGGACTCTTGTCTTTCTTTCAAGGACGCTACAATGAGGCCAAGTATAACAAATTGTAAATTGTTTCATGCAGTCACATCCATACATTCACTCTGCACTGATACATATTTATATTTCTTGGTTTGTGTTGCAGACGTTTTCTAAGGGAAACCCTAAAGATGTCTAATGCTGAGGATCTGAACAGACTGACTGCCTGCTCTCTGGTTCTGTTGGGCCACATCTTCTATGTGCTGGGAAACCACAGAGTAAGACAATATGGTGCATGACAAATGGGTCATATGCTCTTATTAAAGCTGACTTGATTTTCATTTGACGCTATTTAGACTCTAAATTGGTTTGGACAACGCTTATACAGTTGTAACAGCTATATTATTTAACTTATTAATGGTTAAAAAGATAAGACAAATTTTCTGCTTAAATGACACTGTTCTCATGACATTTGCGACTAGAGCCTCATTTACCAAAAAAGTTTACTACATTCTGTCTGGAATAGGAGCTCTGTGTAGACTGATGCAGTATTCAGACTTATAAAGCTACCTATTGAATCAGATTTTATAATTATCACAAAATGAAGGTGACCATATTTGCTTATACACTGGTCTGATATCCCAGCATGCTAACTCTTACCATTAACCCTCAGTGGTTTATTGGAATCTGTTAGTGAATACAGAAATGCAAACATATCCACTTGCTGTTTAATTGAGGTTGATTCAAGATGGGCTGTAGATTTAAGGTGGTGTTCTAGCATTAGTCTGTCTCAAGGGAGTTGAGTTATCTACAAATTAAGTGTTCTGATGTCAAGGTTAAAGCAGAGAAGCATGGTGCCCCTTTATTAATGGTGTTTAACAGAGGGTAGTACAGAGACATTGTGTCAATATTTTAAGGTATTGAAGGTGTGATTCATTGCAGGTTATCAATATTAAACACCACTACTAGCCTACCCTACCGAATTGATCACTGTAGCCACAACAATCTTAAACGTGATGCTAAAAGTTAACTATCTGTGGGGCTCTCTAGAAAGCAGCATGTTTCAGAACCCAGTTAGGGCTGTTGCTTTTTCCAAAAATCAAGTTTGAATGATTTCCGAGCAGACACGTAGACATAGGCTTAAATATTTAATTAAAATAATAAAAAAATATTAGTCACTACCTCTTGTTGCTTTGGTTTGCTTATAAGTGCTTTTTCTTTTTAAGGAGAGTAACAACATGGTTGTGCCTGCCATGCAGCTTGCCAGCAAGATCCCTGACATGTCTGTTCAGTTGTGGTCTTCAGCCCTGTTGAAAGGTACTCAACGATCTTTTCTCTGGTTGCGTAGTACAGGCTTTGCAGATATTTTACTGTGTGAAGACTTGACGTAGTCATCACTTTTGAAACAAAAAATTTTGTTCTCAAGATACAGTCTATGGTTGAATGGAGATTTTGACCATGAGTCGTGATTGCAGACTTGAACAAGGCCCTTGGGAACACCATGGAGGCCCATGAAGCAGCCCAGATGCACCAGAACTTCTCCCAGCAGCTACTTCAGGACCACATCGCTGCCTGCAGCCTGCCTGAGCATAACCTTATCAGTGTACATGAAAAATCTTAGCATTTTCCTCCAACTTTACATGTTATGATGCTTCATTTTCACTCTGGTGCCATATTGAATTTACATATGTTCACTTCACTGTTCTGTTGTGCTGAGATGACAGTATTTCTCTGTTTTCCAGTGGACTGACGGTCCACCTCCTGTCCAGATCCAAGCCCAGAACGGCCCTACCACCAGCCTTGCAAGCCTGCTATGAGGAACCTTCTGCCTCACTTGTGACTGTAACCGGTACACTATCACAAACAACAGAATGATGCCTAACAACCTGCTGTCACATCATTTCAGTTTGAAAGGATTTCAACAGTTGACAATGTTTAGGCTTTCACTTTATTGGCTTCTGAAGATTTCTTGATTGTCTGCACTGCCTTTTTAAACATCTTAAAACAATTACAACTAACAGCTATACATGTATGTCACCCTCTCTGATGGCATGGATACTTACAGGACACAAGGATAGGGTTGGACTCAATAAGAGTAGTGAAGGACGGCGAATTCTCTGCCCCAGGTAAAACCCTTTTGTGTTTTAGGTTTGCCAGTTTTTTTCCATTTGTTGGGAAAACGGGGTTTGAGGGGGCAGTAAAGAAGTGTAGAAAAATTAATTTATTTATGTTGATATTTTTGTAACTGTTGGTAAATATTTTACATCTTTTTTTTTTGTATGGATGCTGTTTTTTTCATGCATGGAAATTACTGATACTGACTCACTCTCGATTTAATTTTTTTTTTTTTTTGGCTGCACAGAATCCATATTTCAAAAATAGACTTAATATATTTTCATGCAATCTGTTGCAAAGTTTCGTGCTTCGGATTGGCAGTGTACATTATGGGACAGTGCACACGCCACTGTGTGAAGTTCTTTTTTTGGACCAGAAGATGCCTCTGTTGGGTCTGATAGTGAGCAATGTTTAAATACTTGTGGATTTTATATCATTTGGTAGCTGTGGGGGTTGCCACATGTGTGTTTGGAAAAAAAAAAAACACATATAATGAATGTATTTTTTTGAAGTCCTATAATATATAAATCCCTGTTGATATATTAATTTTTACAAATCAAGTTTAGATTTTGGAACTTTCAGTAATCTTCAGATATTCAAAAAAAATGACATATTTTGATTTGTTTCAATAGTGCTACTAATGTTTGTATAGACTTGCCACTTGTTGGACCTTTTATTGTACAGTGACATTTTATAAAGTCGCTTCAGTAAAGTGTGATATGTATTTTTAGCCTTCCTATGTAGAAACCTCAGAGCTTGATATTAAGTCTGTAAGGACATGGTTAAAGCTTGAGTACTAGCCATATTCTATCCATTACCTGTGTTTTTAATGCTTACATGTTGTTTTCAGTAATTTTCCAATAAAAATGTAATTGGAAGTTTTGTAATTTGCTGATTGGCTTATCAGTTAGTTTGGGCTGAACTGACTGTGTTGAATGTATTGTCAAGGTTCAGTGCCTGTGTGCAGTAAAGATATGCTCAGTTCATCACAGTGACTGGATGAGCGCACAAGCCAAACTAATGCATTCAAACTGATAATATCCGGACACGGCAAGCACCGCAAAACAATGGGATAAGAAAAGGACTGAATACCAGTAGCTATATGCTGTGTAATTACTACCACACAGTAGTTGGTGACTAACACACAAGCTTTATTGTCACATGCTTTAGTTTCTGAACTTCTATTAAAAATTACAAGTGAACAAAGAACATGAAATGCGGTAGAGGTGCTGGCATTCTGTTGCACATGGGTGAAACTTTGTGTTGTGGTTTGAAATGTTACTGGTCCCATTTTCTCCTGTTTATTTCTAACAAGCTGCTGGAATAGCTGTCTACAGATATCCTGCTATGCCTTCCCTCAGTTTTTTGTCTTGTCATAAATAAAAAATATAATTAGTACTCTTGCTCCACTCTCACAGGGAAAGTATTCATTTGCACCTCTTAAAAGTGTATTTAACAAGCTATCTGAGGCCTGTGTGGAACAGTAAACCTATCCTACACGCTGCCATTTATGTATCCTCTGGGGCTAATGCTGCACAGATAAGAAACCTGAATTTATAACCAAGGATGTTGCTGTCCCAGTGGCAAAGGCAAAGGTATGGATAAACTCTTAGGATGAATTTCCACAGCAGCACCAGATCACAAGCTTGTACTATAGAAACAACCCAGCATGGCTAACCAGTTACGTAGTCCAGTTATGTCACAGGATGTGCTTGTGTACCCCAGGTGACCAGGTACACCTTATGGACAATAGTGTACCCCAGAAAGAGACAGGGACTCTCAGAAAGGTGACCGGGGCTAGTTTAGCATGGTCTTCTGGCACACAGGACACATACAGCAGAAGTTTGGAACTTGTGCCTCCACTGATCCTGGAGCTAATACCGGGGCATTTGTGATCTTAGGAGGACCCTGAGAGAGGACAGCAGTGGGCAAGATCCTCTACACTGTTTATATTGCCACTGAATCACCCATATTTAGTAAGATTAAACAAAAAACTAACTCTATGAAGCACAAAATGTAGGAACTGTGAATAACTATAATTAATAGCATCTCAAATGAAAGGGCCAAATGGACATGACTGCTTAGATTATTTTTTATTTTATTTATTTTTTTGGTAAATTACGTATAAGTATGGCGTGGAAGAATTTAGGTGGCTTATCAAGCATATGCATTGTTCAGTACAAAGTGGTTCATTATTTTAATTCATTCTTTTATGTTTTTGGAGGATGCCTAACACATGAAGAGAGAAACTGGGAGGTTTCTGTCACAAGCAAGAATATACAAGTCATACAAGCCTATTCTGGATAATAAAATTCAATCTAGTCAGTACATTTTTGGATGTGACAATCTATCCAATAGGCTGTCACACAGAGTTGTGTTTATTTGTTAATTTACTCTAAACAGATTCATGCAAGAGTTTAGACTCCCCTTCACTAGTCCTTGGTTTTACTTTTATATTGGAGCACTTCCGCCTAGCCAAACAACATCTTCTATGTCATCTGTTTCAAACTTAACATTTCCGAAGTGCGTATGAACGCAGCATGACGCCGCCTGTGGTGGTTCATTAACGTTACATTATCTGGCAACCGGAGTGGCAGCGGGCAGAAGAGAGGGGATCCCCGGGATTTTTTATACCGAAGCCAGCTAAGTACTAAAGAAATACTAAATACGGGGAACTTGGTTAAGCTCCTCCCAAAGTTCGTAAGTTCACGTACTCTATTATCATATGAATTAATCAAATGTTTTATTTTTCAGTTAAATTATGACGACGAAGGAAGTTTCTCTATCGATGTTAGCCCAGCTAACGTAAGTTAGGCTAGCTAGCATAGCTTGAGCTCAGCTCGTGCAAGGTAACAGTTTGTGTGCCGCTCTGCTACACACACCTACCCGAGTACCAAGAGCAAACCGCCTCAAAAAAAAGTCGAGGAATATTATATCTAACTACTCCGGCAAACTTGTATTAGGATGCTCCAATGGTAAGAGTATGTGAGGTATTTTCTCTGTTTACCAGTTATGAAGCTTTAGAAGTCTGAGGTGACACAGTCATATTCTGTGTTTAATTAACGCTATATTATTTGTGAATAAATTTAGCGACTGTCTTGTTTGGGCAGAAGACAGTCCAGGGAGTTAGCGTTAGCAGGCTAACTTAGCTCGCTAGCGGCTCACTAATATGGGCTTGCTTTCATTGTCTGTCGTGTATCGCTATTTGGACGCATACAAAGATCCAAGCTAAACATCACAGTCTTCATCACATTTATTGCAGTATATGTTCCAGTGTTCAGCGACTTTCCTAAAATCTCTATGATCACCTTTAACCACAATTGGCTGTTAGCTTTGTTTGGTTAGCCAGTGGTTTTGTAGTCGGACAGATGGACAGGTTGTTGTTGGCAAGCCAAGTTAACATTAGCACGAGATAGATTGGTTAGTTAGATATAGGTAGCGATTCTTTTGGTCAAAGTTGGGTCATAAAACTTTATAAACATTAAATCAGTATTACCACCGGTTATTGCTAAGCTTCATGTTGTGCTTAGTCGTGGATTGGTATGATCATGGCTTTATGAGCCATTGATCTCAGAACTTTAGTCAGATTAGCTCAACCGTGAAAAGCCTTTTTATGGAGGCATAATGGTGGACGGTTGTGGCTCCGTCGGGGTGTGTGTCTGTCTGCCCACGACGGATTAGTAGCATTCACCTAAGTCAGCCCATAGACGGTTAAATGCCTATTTTGTGTTTGTACTGGATTGTCAGTGTTGCAATAACTGAGCTCAAATTCACCAACTACTGTAAATACTAAGATATCTTACTCTCTAGTCTGTAACTACTATACCGTTAATTCCCTGTAAATTCAAGACTTTGAAGGCATCCTTGAGATGAATTAGTTGATGTGAGCTGTAACATTTGTAATATGTATCTGGATTATTAGGTCTTGTGATGACTCTGTTGGGGCCCCCGACTGGAAATCGTTTCACTCTCCATATCAACAGCAAGCTATGAACCACGGATCATGTTGTTTGAGTGGACCCTTCATGTCAGTTTTGTATTTATGTATTTACATGTCTTTAAAATGTATTTAAGATAAAAAAAAACAGTGTCTATATGCCTGCTTCTGATGAGCAAGTGCTCTCCTTTTAGAGCAGCAGACAGTTGGCAACCTTGTCATGACTGAAACTTTTTTAAAATATACATCTGTATTTTCCATCACTCATTTTTTTTTTTGGCTTTGGTCATAAGTGAAGCTCAGATATAATATTTGCTGGTCCTTTCATCTGAAATTCAGCCTGGCTGTTTTTTTTTTTTTCCCCAGTTGTGCTGAATTAGAACTTGTGCAATTGTAATGTTGAGCAGTTGGGACAAAAGTGAAGAATCAAAGTTTGAACTGCCATACTGCATGCTTTAGAGGTTTTGGATCTGATTTATAGTTGGGTTACATTTTAATGTAACTTAATTAAAAAAAGAATTATTTGCTCTTGTGTTTTGTTCCTTTTTAGATCAAATTTTGGACATAGATAATATTGAAATGAAGAGCTCACCTTTAGGCATAATAGGCCTTTGGCAGTCAGAGTCTACTATGGATTCATGCATGTGAAGAGTCTCTCTTTTGATGTGCAGTGGGAGCTGTGGCTGCTAAGGCCAATTCAAGGATAGGTAAGACCTCCCACAGTAACTGCAGATGCATTAAGCTGCTGGAGTGTTGGTGGTAGAAAGTGCCTTGCGTCTGGCTCACTTTACTGCAGCAAGGCCCAAGATATCTAGTTTGCCTATTGCCAAATGATTAACAATAATATGTAAACATAATATTGGCGATGTGACTGCAGGGTAGTATGGCATAGGTTTTATGGTTTCCATTTGTCCACAACTGGCTGGCACAACTGTATCTTTGTATCTCACTGTGGGTCACAGTGTAATGCAGCAGTTGGTCTGGATGAGTGTAAGCACAGTCATTGTGAAAAGGTTAACAGGAAGTGCTGGTGAAACCATTGAAGTCTCACCAGAATCGACCAGTTACAGTGTCAGTGTGGATAAATGATGAGGGACTCTTGGTATACATACGTTTTAGGATTAGAATTAAGTGCTGTTGTAGGAAAAAGGCTGAATGTTGGGCTGTCACAGTAATCACTTGTAGTTTATCAAATAAGGTGCAAAAGTGAAAGATGCTGCAAGTAAAAATTGACTTCTTGTGTAGGGGAAGTTTTCTTTACAGCATTGCTTGTATGTCAATAGCATTGCTTGTATGTCATGTTTGGCACTTGTTTTGCATACCACTTTTACACAAAGTTAAGTAACTTTATGCTAGGTGCCACTGAATTACTGACTTAAAGATTTTAAGGAAATTCTGTGCTTGGACAGACTTTTATTTCATGTAGGGTTTAAATTAAGCAGACTTGCATAGTATATTTTATGAATGGTTTTATGTCCTTAGAGAATTCTGCATCCTTCTGTCAGTTTACCTATTTGCTGCATCAAATGCCAAAGATTTGTCATTTTGGCCAAGGGGTCCCACCCAAATGCCTCAGGCAATTCATGGAGGTGTGGGACAGGAATTCTTCAATGTTTGATCAACTGAACTATTTCTTGTTTACCCTGTTGGACTTGATATTGACTCAAGCACATGTGTTTACAGTGTGACCAACTTTTCTTAAGCCTTCTGTAGATACATGCATTGCAATCCCTTATCTAGACAAGGGATGCACATTTTCAGTTTTTTTTGACTGATAGCCAGGGCTCATTAACCTACAAGATGACAATTCTAGGCTATTTAAAATGGATGTGTCTCACACACAGAACTGTGAATGCAGTAAAACAGCCCAATAAAGTAGCTTCTGTGTGCTGCTGATCTGAGGCAGCTCATTTTACTTTAGGCATGTGTGATTGTAATAGCCCTGTAAAATACTCTGGTATCAGAATATAAGGGAGACTTATTATTCCATCCATCATATAATATTGCATTATATGTGTGCCATGAATGTTACTTCCTTTCAAAGTATACTGTTCAATATAAAACGGACCACTCTCAGCCTAAATTTCTCTGAAAACTGCAGGTACTGCAGAGATCTTAATTGTGCAAGTAAACCTTGAAACCATGACTTCTTTGCAGTGTAGGGCAGAAAAGGGGGTGGGATGGAGGCCGCACTTTTGTTGTTTTGAATTTTAATTTGCATTTAATTTGTTTTATGATGGGAAGTGATATGACCTAAATTATTATTGATTATTTTGGACCACTTAAACTTAAATTTCTTTTGGTTCTGGGGAAACGTAGAGCTCTTTGTCATCACCCCCTCCTCCGCTGTTCAGGCGAGACACAGCACATGTCAAACCCATGGAGAGGGCAAAAAAAGAGTGTTGGCAGCTTGAGAAAAGTGACAGCATGCTAAAGAATAAAATGCAGAAGTGCTGGTTCTGTGTGTTCCTGGCCCAGTTTGAGCCCTGAGATTAATGGAAACACATATTGCAAATCTTCAGCACCCAGAGCATTGTAACAAATCCTCTTCCTCCAAAGCTTAATAATCAAAACCCCCAACAGGTTAACAAAACAGAAACTTGTAGCCTACTGGTTTTTGTTCAGAAATAGGAACATGTCAGCATGCTGTAATGTTATTCTGTTTACTATGAGACCCATGGTGGAGAATACCCAGTCTGATGATACCAGTGTCCCAGCCCAGGAATGCAAAGATAGTGCCTCATTAGTGGCCAGCCTGGGGAAGCCTGTCTGCTAGGGAAGTGTGTCTGATTAGCTTTCCACAACACCCTCCTCATGTTTTGATATGTAGGCCCTATAAAGTCTGCTGAAAAATAGGCTAAACATTTTTTTGAACGTTTAGCTGGTTAACAGGGTGTACATCCCTAATCTAGACATGTGGATATGGGGTGTATGTGAGAACACAAATGTCCAAATCAGTTGGACCAGACTTTAAACAGAATTTTCCCTTCCTAGTTCAGAGTCCATGTAATGTCCATTTGAGCTCATGTTTGAATAGAGCAGGTTATTAACACAAATTCATTCAAATCCACACAGAGCATGCATGCATGTTGATGATGTTTTTTTTATATGACTGGCATGAAACCAGAAGAATGCAAACATCCTAGTTTGAAGAAGAAAGGTAATTTTCATAGAAATGCCAAAGAAAATGTCTAACTGGAAAGATGATGAGATTCAGGAACTGTCTTTAAGGGCTGATCATGAAATCGTCAGATAGATGTAATGGATTGAAAGAGACTTCTTTTTTTTATGACCAAATTACAAACCAACTGCATGACCCCATACATTTTACATCATGTCCCGCTTTACCCAGGTGCTACCCCTCACATAAACCAAACACAGCATTTCCAGTAGGTGAAAATGTGTCCGACTATCTGCTCTATGTGTGAAAGGACATGGTCCTGATTCTCTGGACCTTGTCTGGAATTCATACAAGAAAACTTCTTTAGAGATGCACATATGTGAAGTGATGAGTTGAGCAGTGTACTGAATGAAGCTAAGCTAAGCCAGTGCCCTCTGCTTTAATCTGGATGTGTATCAGTTCCTTCAGTAAATGGCCACATGTTGACCACAGTGATCAATATGTGTTGCATTGATACGGCTCCTTAAATAAATGGTAAGAGTGGTGTTTGTTTTTGAGAGATTACCCTCACAACAATTGCAGTGCTATTTTCATTAGATGTATTGTAGAGTTCACTAAAAAGATTTTCTTTACCATTGATTATGATAGTTAAGATCATTTTAAATAGTTTGATAACATATAAAAAAATGTAATTTCCAGTTCTCCCTTGTATTCCTTTCAGTGTGTAGCTGATTTACACAAAAA